GAACTCAAACAAAGGGGACAACTTCATCAGCCCAGCCCACTTGCTGCCGGAAGAAAAAAGCCCCTACATAAATTGGCGACTTCACTGGGGATTAGGCCATTATCTTCACCAATGCCTCCAAAGAAGAAGATCAGAAGCAATAAACTAGAAGGAATAAAGAGATAAGAACATTTCTTCTTTCTTTTTCTTTTTCCTTTTGTTGGCTATCTACTTTGTAGAACAAACATAATATAGATTACTCACATGGTCCATTTGCTTGTGTCTTAGATCTCCATTCTCAAGCAAAACAAGATCTTGTAAGAGGACTGGGGGCTTCAGCCAACGTGCAAGCCGCTGACCACCGTCGTCAATTGTTGAGGCTAGCACCTCTCCACCATAATACATCATCAGCAAGTCTGGCCATCGCCGTAAATCACCTTCATGGCAGCTCTCACAAGCCTCCAAACAACAAAACAAATGCTCTCATGTTTCCTACACAACATCTCAACACACTACCATTATCATCCATTCCTTAGACAAATCTCTCTCTATACTTCCAGTCATAGAAGTTCAAGCACCACTGGAAAAGCCGCTGGAAGAGTGGCTGGAAGAAGAACAGAGCCAGTCGTTGAAATCCAAACACCACTGCTGGAAGAGCCGCTGCTAGAAGCACATGCTACCACCAAATCATGCCAAATTGTCACCATTGCAACAAAGGGATATCCCAAGTTCATCATGCCATGCAATGACCCAAACAAATACTAAGAAGGCCACGTTGCAAGAGTTTTTGTAGCTTATGCCCATCAAATCCTTTTCTGATGATTATGGTTCACTTGGGGGCTGAGGAAGGAATTCATTGCAATCACCACAGCAGCAATTCCAAAACCCCTAATGAGCTGAAGAATCCATTATTACCAAAACCACTATCCCCAGACAAAAAAATCTCCTTGAAATTCCAATTATGTCACTATGACCTCCAAGTTTGCCATCACTTGCCAAGAACTCAAGCTGTTGTAACCCAACACATTTGCTGCAGTGACCACATGCAAAGCTCAAGCTTCAATAGCCAAGCCCGAGCTTTTGGTTCCTATAACATGTTCACAACAGCTGCAACAAACAATACCAAAGTTGCCATAACTGATATGCTCCAGCACCTCAATCACTTTCTAAGCCTTGACCATTCCAATGACCAAGTTTAGGAGTCAAAACCAAAAGGCTATCGGGATGTCTCAATTGCCACAGTTCCATAATCAAGCATCATCAAGCCCCAAGCCTTAGTCAAGAAATCCAAGCACTATGCTTTACTCAAGAAGGAAAACATCTTGATTCATGGCAAATGGAAGGAAAATATTGCAAAGGTAGTGCTATGATACTGCTGGAAGAACTTAAATGCTGTCAAGATGAAGTTTCTTTTACCAAGCAATCAGAATTTTTGAAGCAATGTCAAGCTTTCATGCTATTGCAAGTCATGCACACCTCTTGGTCTTTTTCATACTTGGGGGCTTGATTTGATTGGAGTATTCATCAATGCAAAGTGGCTCAAAGTCTTATTATTGCTGAATTGCTTTTGCACCTATCATTTTGTTTTTGGCTTTTCAAATTTATTTCAAAAATGAACTTCTTATATATTTTCACCCTATGCTTTCACAACTTTTGTAAGATGCACCACCATTATGGCATGCCAAGGTGTGAGACGATATTTGCAATAAGAATGGAGTATTTTGGAAAAGGGAAAAGCCTCTAGAATTCTTCCTTGCTTTGACCTTCTTCTGTTTTGCAAAACATGCTCTTTGAAAAAAAAAAAATAGACAAGCAAACTTTTCTTTACAAAACTAAGCCTTTCAGCAGTAACTATACCAAGCAAAGCCACATAGATGGGATCCCGAACTGTCAACAAGCATCATGCCTAAGCAAAATAGCACAAGTCATGCAAAGCCAAGCTATTACAAAAAGGGCATGCAATTCTTGAGGTGCCGGAACAACGAAACCATTGTACCCTTTCGATGAGCAATTCAAAACTTCACGACATCCAGAAATTCTTACAGGAGCCTTTGTGAAAATCATGCATACAATGGCCTGACCCTTTTAAGGTGCGGCAAGAGGGTGCATTTTAGGCCAAATGAGTAGACAAGCCTTGCGAAAGTTTTAAAGAGCAATGCATCGAAGATTTAGCTCAAAGATCCTATCAAAATTTCGACAGCATATACCTTGTTCTTAAGGCTAGCCAACCTGTCAGAAAGATTTCAAGAAGTTCACAAGAGCAAATTCTCCCAACCAAGCAATATATATATATAAGATGTACGGATTACAACATGCCTCAAGCATTCAGAAATTAATGCAGGTTCCAGCGGTTCAATAGTACATTACAAAGTCATAACGACATAGTCGTTAGACTATCTAAAAAGTACACGGCCATTGCAAAAACAAAGTTACACATGTTGAAGATTTGTACATTCTATGGTATCAAGAAAGATGGAAGCTGTGCACTGAGCCAACTGACCCCAAGCCAAAGAAAACAACCTGTGAAATAAAAGGAGGCAGCACTGCCGGAAGGTGCAGGGCAGTGCCAGCAGCTATGTCGAATGTTTCGAGAAGAAGAGGAGTAGGAGGCAGCACTGCTGGAAGGTGCAAGGCATGCCGGCAGCTATGTCGGATGTTCCGAGAAGAGGAGGAGTAGGAGGCAGCACTATTGGAAGGAGCAGGGCATTGTGTACACCTGCATCGGATGTCCCAAGAACATGGGGGCTGCCGAAAACAAACCCTTCTTTATGCAGCACCTCGATATAGACGCGGGATCAATCACTGAAGCAATTTCCGGCACTGGCTCTTCGCCTACTGCAACATCTTCACAAGCATTCTTAAGTAATGGAGGGGGCCTTCCCCTCTCTAATTTATCATCTAGAGAATAAAGGTGGTCACTAATGTCACTAATAATTGACGATGGGTTAGTGGAAGCCATGGCAGGTCTTGAGAAGCGATGAATCCCTGCAAGAATTGCCAACAAAGAATATGCTGAAAAATGGCAAAGCATAAAGCTAGTTCTCTGTGTTAAAGCCAAGCAATCTCCACACTAGCATGCAAGCAATATGAACTTTACAAGCCAAGCAAAGCAAGCTATCTCATGCCAAGCGAAATGCATAAACAAAAAATATTTTTGAAGCATCATGTAATCTATTACTCGAGCTCATGATGAGCAAATTTCCCATTCCATGCTCAATCAGTCATTCCAACAGACCCTTTTTCACAAAGCAAGTGCTACAAACTGAGCACTATTTACCTCATAGTAACCTTTTTCACAAAAACAAAATCCCTGCGAGTTACACAACATCCTTGCAGACCCATCATACACATGTTTATGTCTATCCCTATAAAGCCAAAAAATGAACAGTTATCCATGACCAAACTCTAAGCTCATAAAAAAGAAACCAATGGTGCTTTCCTCAAGCTTTCAACAGCCTCTAATCCTATGCATTAATCATGCGATTACAAGCATGCGCTCGTGATGCATATAGTTCAACAACAATAAAGAAGAAAGGGGGTCAAGAACGTAGCACACACAAAATTGTACCTCAAGCATGACAAGTCAAGCTCATACCAAAGGAAACGCTCAAGAAAATGCCCAAGCAACATGCAATTTAACCATGGCAAGAAAAATTCTCATTGACAAGCAATTCCCATAGCAAGCAAAATTCTTTCTCAAAAATGCAAAAAATTCAAGCATTGCAAAACATGCATTCTATCAATTTCTATTTCCCACAACATAAACCAAGGCCCAAGGTTAATCAAGCATGTGTTCACAAGAAAAGTGAGCCTAGGCCAAGCACCAGTCTATGCTTATTCCTGGAATATTCAAATTGGCAGAGTTACTTACCAAAGGATTAAAGCAGAAGCTCAAATATCCGAGTTAGAAGGCTGGAGGATTTGGGGGTTCCAGCAGCAAAAACGTCAAAGCTTCCGGCACTTGCCTTTTCCCTACCTGTGTCTGAGACGTATACACCTACATAGAAAAAGGGCATTGTGCAAGGTTCAGCCTTTTCACCAGCTAAAAAGGGGCCAACACATAATAAAAAGGGGGAAGAAAAATGGAGAAAAGGAAAGGATGTGGTCCATACCAGGGATTTCTTTTTGCAATCCTTTAGCACTCTTCCAGCGGCTTGCTAAAGAAAGAAATCGAAAAGAAGAAAACCCAAAAAGCTGATGCGAGCCCTTCCTTGCTAGCACCCATGCCGTGAGTACCATTGTTGCAACGATGACAAAATAGGTCAAAGGGGTTTGGTGCTTGGCTGCCAAAACGAAGAGCAAAACCCCACGAGGATGAAGAACTCAACAACTAGCTTGTTCTCTGTCTCATCCAAAGTCTCTCTGGTCAAACAATTCAAATCTTCCATAAGCCTTCATATCGCAAGACAAGGTGTGAGCAACCAAAATCTCACCTTCATACCATCAAGTTCCTAACAAATCAGTAAGAAGATGACATTTCTCATGCTTTGGAACCTCTCAATCAAGTCTGAAAAAGAAACAAGAGAGCACATTGGCCAGATTAGATGCTGGAAGGGAACTCGTAAATGAAAAGGGGGCGCCGAAAGCATAATCGCTATTGAAGCATAATTTTTTCCAAAGACAAGTTGCAAGAGGCCAAAATTCACTTTCATGCTATCAAAATCCTAGAAAATTAGACTTCTCATGCTTTCTCATGATTTGGAGCTTCTAAACAAGAGAATAC